TATGTATATATATGTATATGTGTATATATATATGTATATATGTATATATGTATATGTATATATACTGTATATGTATATATGTATACTTTTGTATATATATATATATGTATGCTGATATGTAATATCTAAGCTGATATGTAAGCTGATAAATGTAAGTCTTTCTATTTATACATATGTTCAGATTACTGATGGCTTTGGTCCTTGTCCCGTCATCCTGTTGGCCCTCACCTTTGACCTGTGCTGTATCCATCTTCAGCAAGGGACGCAATGACAGCAACCTCAAGGTGAGTGATCCGATACGTATGACATAAATAGAGGATGTAGTCAACACTGAGGATTGGGAAATTATAAACCTCGCGGTGCGGTTCATTGATTTTATTTAGCCATAGAAAAAAACTAAAAAATAAATATCACGTGTTAAAAATCAAACATGACATTTAGATGTTGAATATATAGCACCAAGACTGGATTACTCTAGTGGTGTGTGGTTAACATGCTCATGTGGTATGTGATTATATTCATTCCACTTTATTTCAATTCCCTGTTGAATGTTTGTCTATCTTTTTATCCTTTCAAAGCTAGAAACTCGGAGTAAAATCAAATTATCCTCTGGAAAAAAAAAATGCTAAAACACAGTTTTGAATCTATCCAGTTTTTAGCATTCTCGATAAATAGTCACAGGGGACAAACTTGTATCCCGTGAGCCACTTCAGGCCCTCATCCAGCCCGTACATAAATGGCAATACAGTGTTCCCTCTCTGTTCTATTCTCCTTTTGCTCCCTCAGTACATTGCAGATTTTTTTAATCCGATGCTATATAGTGATATATTGCAGCCATTTGCTAAAATCATTTAAGTCCATTTTTTTCCTCATTAATTAAGACACTCAGCACCCCATATTGACAGAAAAACAGAATTGTTGACATTTTTGCAGATGTATTAAAAAAGAAAAACTAAAGTATTCAAATCCTTTGCTGTAACACATATATTGAACTCAGGTGCTGTCCATTTCTTCTGATCAGCCTTGAGATGGTTGTACACCTTCAAATCTAGCTGTGTTCGATTATACTGATTGGACTTGATTAGAAAAGTCACACACCTGTCTATATAAGACCTTCCAGCTCACAGTGCATGTCAGAGACAATGAGAATCATGAGGTCAATTAAACTGCCTGAGGAGCTCAGAGACAACATTTGTGACAAGGCACAGATCTGGCCAAGGTTACAAAAAAAGTTCTGCTGCACTGAAGGTTTCAAAGAGCACAGTGGCCTCCATAATCCTTAAATGGAAGAAGTTTGGGACGACCAGAACTCTTCCTAGACCTGGCCGTCCAGCCAAACTGAGCAATCGTGGGAGAAGAGCCTTGGTGAAAGAGGTAAAGAAGAACCCAAAGATCACTGTGGCTGAGCTCCAGAGATGCAGTCAGGAGATGGGAGAAAGTTCCACAAAGTCAACTATCACTGCATCCCTCCACCAGTCGGGGCTTTATGACAGAGTGGCCTGACGGAAGTCTACCCTCAGTGCAAGACACATGAAAGCCCGCATGTTAGATGTTGAATATATAGCACCAAGACTGGATTACTCTAGTGGTGTGTGGTTAACATGCTCATGTGGTATGTGATTATATTCATTCCACTTTATTTCAATTCCCTGTTGAATGTTTGTCTATCTTTTTATCCTTTCAAAGCTAGAAACTCGGAGTAAAATCAAATTATCCTCTGGAAAAAAAAAATGCTAAAACACAGTTTTGAATCTATCCAGTTTTTAGCATTCTCGATAAATAGTCACAGGGGACAAACTTGTATCCCGTGAGCCACTTCAGGCCCTCATCCAGCCCGTACATAAATGGCAATACAGTGTTCCCTCTCTGTTCTATTCTCCTTTTGCTCCCTCAGTACATTGCAGATTTTTTTAATCCGATGCTATATAGTGATATATTGCAGCCATTTGCTAAAATCATTTAAGTCCATTTTTTTCCTCATTAATTAAGACACTCAGCACCCCATATTGACAGAAAAACAGAATTGTTGACATTTTTGCAGATGTATTAAAAAAGAAAAACTAAAGTATTCAAATCCTTTGCTGTAACACATATATTGAACTCAGGTGCTGTCCATTTCTTCTGATCAGCCTTGAGATGGTTGTACACCTTCAAATCTAGCTGTGTTCGATTATACTGATTGGACTTGATTAGAAAAGTCACACACCTGTCTATATAAGACCATTTCCTCATTAATGTACACTCAGCACCCCATCTTGACAAAAAAAAAAAACAGAAATGTTTTAAGTTTTGCAAATTTTTAAAAAAAGAAAAACTGAAATATCACATGGTCATAAGTATTCAGACCCTTTGCTGTGAGACATATATTTAACTCAGGTGCTGTCCATTTCTTCTGATCAGCCTTGAGATGGTTGTACACCTTCAAATCTAGCTGTGTTCGATTATACTGATTGGACTTGATTAGAAAAGTCACACACCTGTCTATATAAGACCTTCCAGCTCACAGTGCATGTCAGAGACAATGAGAATCATGAGGTCAATTAAACTGCCTGAGGAGCTCAGAGACAACATTTGTGACAAGGCACAGATCTGGCCAAGGTTACAAAAAAAGTTCTGCTGCACTGAAGGTTTCAAAGAGCACAGTGGCCTCCATAATCCTTAAATGGAAGAAGTTTGGGACGACCAGAACTCTTCCTAGACCTGGCCGTCCAGCCAAACTGAGCAATCGTGGGAGAAGAGCCTTGGTGAAAGAGGTAAAGAAGAACCCAAAGATCACTGTGGCTGAGCTCCAGAGATGCAGTGGGGAGATGGGAGAAAGTTCCACAAAGTCAATTATCACTGCAGCCCTCCACCAGTCGGGGCTTTATGACAGAGTGGCCTGACGGAAGTCTACCCTCAGTGCAAGACACATGAAAGCCCGCATGTAGTTTGCTTAAAAAACACCTGAAGGACTCCAAGATGGTCAGAAATAAGATTCTCTAGTCTGAGGAGACCAAGATAGAACCTTAATTCTAAGCAGTATGGTTGGAGAAAACCTCATCACCTGTCCAATACAGTCCTAACCGAAAACCTCATCACCTGCTCAATACAATCCCAACAGCAAAGCATGGTGGTGGCAGCATCATGCTATGGGGTGTTTTTTAGCTGCAGGGACAGGACGACTAGTTGCAATTGAAGGAAAGATCTATGTGGCCATGTACAGAGATATCCTGGATAAAAACTTTTTCAAGATGTACAAGGATATCCTGGATAAAAACTTTTTCAAGAGCGCTCAGGACCCAGGCGCTGTTCACTTTGGTGATGGGTTTAAAAACAGAGGTCAATGGAGTACTGTGTCATAACGACAAGTAGTTCCTAAAATAACCAAGGACTGGCTTCACAACGACTCCATGTTCTTGAATGGCCCAGCCTGTGGAGAGACCTGAAAATGGCTGTCCACCAACGTTCACCATCCAACCTGACAGAACTGGAGAGGATCTGCAAGGAGGATTGGCAGAGGAATCCGAAATCCACGTGTGGAAAAACTTCAAAAGGATGCTTCTACTGGGCAAAGGGTCTGAATACTTTTCACCATGTAATATTTCATGGTTTTTCTTAAAGAAAATATGCAAAAAAATCATAAATTCTGTTTGTCCATCAATATGGGTGTTAACAGTACACGCATACTACACTACATACATACGTGGTTTCATAGTGTTGCCGTTAGCACGCCTGCCTCGAGAGCAGAGATTCCTGGGTTCGATTCTCAGAGGAACATGGCGCTTGCTAGGGGCAGCCTGTTAACAGCAAATCTGCTGTTAACATACCATTTTCCAAAATATGGGATCAATAAATTTCAAATGCTTTTTTTTTTTTATTTTATCAATGATCAAAAAAAAAGAACTTAAATGGTTTTAGCAAATGGCTGCAATATAACAAATACCATTTTCCAAAATATGGGATCAATACAGTACAAATTTATTTTTAAAAGAATTTAAATGGTTTTAGCAAATGGTTGCAATATAACAAAAAAATTAAAATTTAAGCTGGTCTGAATACCTACTGTACCCACTGTACATACAGGGAAATGCAACAAAAAAAACATGCAGTACGTACAAGTAAATAAATGTCATGTGTGACATGTATCTATGGTGAGCATTTAATTACTCTAGGGTAATGACCTAAGTTGAACACAGCAGGGCACTGTTGTTGTTCGATTGTTGATAACGGTGTGGGGGAGGTTCGTAAGGGGTTAATATATACGTAAATAACATAATAATAACTATCTCATCTCTATTTTTCCCCATTTCGTGGTTGGTTTTGGAACACAACTACCGTGACAGGAGAGGGATCACTGTAATAATTTAATTTGGTCTTTGATGATATTTTTAAACCATTATTTCCAATTAGGTTAAAGAAAAAAATATTAGTATTTGCTGTTTTGTATAGTATTACACAGTATTTGTTATGAACAAAAAACTTTTTTTTTTTTTTTTTTGTGTATTTGAGACCCTGCTGTAGTGGATTAATTACCCTTCAGGCAGCGGTTTCACGCACTTGTCCAAATCATTACTATCTCCCTTCTTTATAGATCTCTACATTCTGCACAGAAGCTCTCACCATCTGCAATTCCCTCCTCCACCCACGTACTCCCTCCACAGCGCTCCCGTTGCCGCCCCTCACCCTGAAATCCCCTCCTACCGCCCCGGTTCTCACATCCACACAGGGACCAGGACCTACAAGTGGACTCACTCTGCCCACCCTTTTAGGGGCTACGGCCCCTGGGCCCATCTTCCCAGTGCGTCATTCCCTCAACCTGGGTCCGAGCTCTCTTTTGGGTTCCCTGGAAAACCAACTGTCTCTGGTTCCAGGTCTTTCGTGTCCGGCTCCAACCCCGGGAGAGGTGATCTTGTCCCCACCTGCACACCACCTGCCTGACCAGGCTGGGCTTGGCCCTGCGGAATGCCAGAGACCGGTATTTGTGCGCTATGAAAAAGAAGAGGCCGAGGATGTGGAGATATCTCTGGCAAGCGACTCCGATGACAGCGTGGTCATCGTTCCGCCTGGCATGCTCAACATGGAGAATTCGCAGGACGCCGTATCTACGGCGGCAAACTCCCACAGCATGTTGTCTGTGGCCTCGGGGGCTCCCGCAGTCACTCTCTCAGCAGGAGAATGCACTCCCCTGACAGCCAACTCCGCCACGCCGTCAACAATTGACAGCGCAACCCTGCAGAACAATCTCTCCACCTCCTCCTCCCCCCTCATCACCTCCAACAACCCCGTCAACTCCTGCCCTTCGTCTAGCACCTCATTGGTTTCCATGGTGCCACCACTGAATGCCAGTACTTTAACCCCAACATCTGGTCTTGGGAACTCGATGTCAAGCAGGGCACAGCTTCAGCAGATGCTGATGCAGCCCTCGGCCGGGGCTCAGCCTCCCTCCATCGCCCCGCCTCTGCAAATGCACCAACTGCAAAACCAACTGACCCAGCCCGGACGGGCCTTTCACCAGCGCCCGTCTCCTCTGCCAACCAGCAACGAAGACACGGCCATTATTAACATCAATAGCACCGACGATGAAGAGGAGGAGGACATGGAGGACGAGGAGGACGTGGAGGAGGACGAGGAAGACGAGGACGAGGAAGTGAGTGACTTTGCGGAGGAGGAGGAAGAGGAGTTCTATGATGGAGATGAGTACGAGGATTACGATGAGGAAGAGGCAGAGGAGCTGGAGGAGGAGGGCGAAGACGAGGATGGCGACATGCCTCCAAAAGTGGAGGAGGAAGGGGAGAGACACGTCCATCCACAGGAGGTGGACGGAGACATACCTCCGCTGGAGGGCGCCGAGGACAACGCCGAAGACGCCGAGGGGCTCCAACCTCCCGCCCTGCTCGACGATTGTGTAAGCAGGTATAGTGGGGAGGGATACGAGGAAGGAGGGATAGAGGAGATCCAGAGCAATAGAGTGCTGTTCGGAGACGACAGGATCAAGGTGCAGGAAGTGGAGAGCATCGGAGTCTTGGAGGAGGCGCGGGCGGACGAGGAGGATGAGAGCGAAAGAGCAGACGATCCGAGCATGCCGCAGATATTATGTGTG